ACCAACTTCTCGACGATAGCCGAACCGCTCACGCGACTCACCCGAGATGATGTACCGTTTGCCTGGACTACAGAGCAAGAAGCAGCTTTCACAGAGTTACGGCAGCGAATGCAAGAGGCACCTGTTCTTGCGCATTTTGATGAGGACGCTGATACCGAAGTTCACACGGATGCAAGCAACGTCGGACTTGGCGCTGTCCTTGTACAACGGCACAACGGCGTAGAACATGTCATAGCTTACGCCAGTCGTACTCTCTCTCGAGCCGAGGCCAACTACTCCACTTCAGAGAAGGAATGCCTCGCAGTCGTGTGGGCAACGGCAAAGTTTCGACCTTACCTCTACGGCCGTCCCTTCAAGGTGGTGACCGATCACCATTCGCTGTGTTGGCTGGCCAATCTCCGTGACCCGTCTGGTCGTCTCGCTCGGTGGAGTTTGCGCTTGCAAGAGTTTGACATCATGATTGTGTATAGGTCTGGGCGCAAGCACGAAGATGCCGACGCACTTTCTCGAGCACCCGTGGGACATCCTGATATGGACTCGGAATATGCTGATGGTTTTCTCGGAGCCCTCAGTGATTCTGACTTTATGTCTAGACAGAGAGCCGATCAGGAATTGCGCCCTATTATTGATTCTTTAGAAGGCCGAAATTCTCACACTCCTCGGCGCATCGCTCGCGAATTGTCATCCTTTTGTCTAAGGAGGGGCATTCTTTACAAGAAAAATGCTCGAGGTAGCAACAAAGCCTTCCTCCTCGTTGTACCAGCCGACATGCGGGATGACATCCTCCTCGCGTGCCATGACGAGCCCACGTCGGGACACTTGGGCTACTCGCGGACTCTCGCCAGAGTGCGCCAGCAGTACTATTGGCCACGACTTTCGACCAGTGTACACCGCTACGTGCAAGGCTGCCGCGAGTGCCAGCGTCGCAAGACGCCACCCGTGAAACCTGCGGGCCTTCTCCACCCTATTACACCACCACGGACACCTTTCGACCTCGTGGGAATGGACCTTCTAGGACCCTTCCCTTTGTCGGCCACTGGTAACAAATGGATTATAGTGGCAACCGATTACTTGACCCGGTATGCTGAGACAAAGGCATTACCCCGCGGCACGGCGTCTGAAGTGGCGAAGTTCTTCGTGCAGCACATCGTCCTCCGGCACGGCGCGCCGTCATGTGTGATTACGGATAGAGGAACATCGTTTACGGCACAAATGCTAGAGGACATTTTCAGACTGAGCTGCACGAGTCACCGAAAAACAACGGCTTACCACCCACAAAGTAATGGACTGACGGAAAGGCTCAACAAGACCATAGCGGACATGCTGTCAATGTACGTGGACGTGCAGCACAAAACCTGGGACGATATCCTCCCATACGTCACGTTCGCATACAATACGGCAATGCAGGAAACAACCCGATTTTCACCTTTCCACCTTGTTTATGGACGCAACGTACAAACGATGCTTGACGCTATGCTGCCGTACGATAATAGCGATGCTCTTTCTCCAGAAGCCGAGCAATACACGCAGTACGCCGAAGAGGCTCGTCAACTGGCTCGCGTGAACATCGGTCACCAACAAGACGCAGATGCACGACGTTACAACCTTCGCCGTCGAAACGTCGCATACCACCCGGGTGAACGAGTGTGGGTGTGGACTCCTGTCCGACGACCAGGCTTGTCTGAAAAGCTTCTGAGCCGTTATTTCGGACCATACAAGGTTATCCGACGTGTGAGTGACCTTACATACGAAGTACTTCCGGACGGCACAGTGTCGTCACGTCGACAACATCGGCCCGAAACTGTGCATGTCGTACGACTCAAGCCGTACTACACACAATAGTCTCTGTGCTTGCGAGTTACTTCGCAAACGTGACAGTGATCTCATGTGGTGTTTTCTTTTTCTTGACTCTTCCACTGGTGCTGTTGTGTTCGCGCATGGTCCAAGTGCTTGTGCGCCCTCTTTGTTTTCCCTGCACTCACTTTGTCATTCTCTGCGTCAACGCGTGTTCTAATTATGGGTTTTTTTTTCTTCTTCTTTTTATTTAGAAGCATCGAGTCGATGCTTTTTAAAAGGGGGGACTAATGCCGCATGAATTCGCGTGGTTTTCGTGTGGAAGAGGACGAAGAGGTTGGGATTGAGCCGCTTTTTAATGCCGCATGAATTCGCGTGGTTTTCGTGTGGAAGAGGACGAAGAGGTTGGGTTGGAGCAGTTTTTCTTTTTGTCCTAGCTTGACGAGCAGTTCTGCGGAAGGTTTCCTTGAGTGAGACAAGATTGGTGACAATACAATTTAAGCGTGTCATGCAATCATCCGGAAGTTTTATACACCCAGAAAATCATCCTCACATTCGGTACTTGCTACAATAAGGTGCAATCCATCTTCTTCAGTAGTGGAGAATCAGTTGAGAAGCACATAGTTATGACTTAGGAAGACACTGAGGGGCTATAGTTGTTACTGATGTCTAGCTTCTCTAAGCGCGAGAGACAAGTTTATCACTTGTCCTCTATAGTGGCACTAAAAGCACGTAACACGAACGAAGAATATATTCTTTGTTCATATTACCTGCTTTTCGTGCTCACAGAAGCTGTAGTTGGGATGACGAAATCATTTCGGACAAGCACTTGCTATATGCGCCCTAAGAAAACATAAAGAGCACGTGTTAGTCATCCTGGTGAACCCTGACTAGTTCTATCATAACTCTCTTTATAGATGTACATCAACTTTCGGGTTTTGAAACAGCCACACTTGTCATCATCTCCAAAGATAGTATAATTGGCTAAATATGTACGGTGCACCTTTAAAGATAGTTACTCATGTGAGAAGTCACAACTCATCAAAAAGGGTAAAATTACTTTTCTTTCTTTTCAGAGTGTGTGCTGCATCTGGAAAAAGTCTTGTGCAGTGTTGCACGACACTCCAAATAATTTTCTTGCCTTCCCCCTTACCCAGTACAGGGTAGTGCACAAGTTCAGCCCTGGTTATTCTAGCAGCCTTTCTTGCATACATCTGCACATCTTCAACGCGCTCTCATTTCCAAGCCCTGGACTATGTTTCTACTGCACTGCATATTGCTCCTCCGTGCCTTTCGTTTTAATAACTAATCTGCATAAGAACGTACGCCACAATTCAGTTAACACATGTGCCATTTTTTTTCATAACTATACTCAGTTTCATAAGTTTCCTTCATCACTGTGGAGGCTACAGGACCCCTCTGCCAATAAGAAAATCGATTAGCCCCTTCACATGTATTCCATCGCGACGTGTCGTCTGCTTACTGTCTTCACGGTACCTGCAAGCGAAATTGTGTATACGCGCTCATTGCAGTTGATACGGCAAGTTCATTAGCTGAAAAATACACTAAAACTACGAAACAAGCAACTACAACGGGTCAACAGTTTTGTATTATTCAAAAGCTTTGATAACTTTGAGATGTAACATTGCGGAGACACCGTCTATGCAACTTGTGTGGTGTACATGTGTCAGGCTGGTCACTGGATCGTAAGTATTATAAACAGGTGCAATTGTTTGAAATGAGGAGAAACAATACTTGAATTGGAACGCTCAGCTCGTTAAATAGGGAATACGGATGGTCACTGTTTCACGCCAAGCGCTGTTCGTGGCTCTGGTATAACTGCTTCTTCGTCGACGCCTTCCTTCTAGTCTGCCACTGCAACATTCCCTTGCTCCATTTTCTGTTTCCACCACCATAGTTTTTAACGAAGGAGGACTCCACGCACGCGGAATGCTGTGCGAGCTTGCATGTCCGATTTTTGGAGAAGGAGTGTTCTTGGTTTGATGACGCAGCCCGAGCACTGCCTGGATGCGTTGGGTCTTGCAGGTGCGGATAAGCAAATAGCATATCTCGCTAATGACAACAAAACGTACCTGAAGCTTTATCTTCAAAGTGGAATGAAACAAATCGAAGGCTGATTTCACCATTTCATTTTTTTTTTTCTGTCAGCGCAGTGGGCGTGTAGCAAGAGCAGGTTCGGATCGAAGCGGTTGGTTGCTCCTGCATGGGTGCTGTCATGTTAATTTGTAACCACGTTTACCAGTGGTAAGAGACTCAGATTACTAAGTGCGCACAAAATAAAGACAGAGAACTAAACATATCACGCACCTATTTGGCGAAACACGTACAGACTGAAAAAATGCAAATTTTAGCAGACCCTGTCAATTTTGGGACTATGTTTTGCTGCGCAAGCGTGTGGCTTCCTTACACCTCATAGCTTTGGTACTGCTGAACCACAGTGGTGAAGCAGAGTATAGAGGAGTATCCAGTGAGAACTCTTTAGTGGGCTACTCATTGCAGCGTGCGCTAATTGAGTAGCACTTAAAAACTGGTGGTGACGATTGGTCACGGTGCGCTTGCTCTTGAGCTGTATAGCCAACCAACACGGGGTGTAACGGAAAAGCGTGTTGATTTTGACAATGTGCTGCCCTTGACGTAGTCTGCTGTACTTGATGGGTAATTGAATCACCCAAGGGAATTCGTAGTGAGTTTTTTTACACATTCATATTAGGCACATTATATTTCGAATCATAATCTGCTCAACAAGAACACCAACCGAAAAGTTTGGTTCACAACCAACATTCTCTTTACGGGCACGCTTCTTTAATAACCCTGTTACTCACTGACACTGATATTTCTATTGCACAGATGTATTCAGAGCACTTTTCCGTTCTTCTTTCTGTTTTTGTGTTAAGGAGGCTATGTTTATGCTCACGTTTCTGATCTAATTATTGCCGATAACATTAAAAACAACCTGTCATCCCCATCCCAGGCTTTCGTACTTGACTGCTGTTCGTGGCTGCCGGCCATGGCTATGGGTGCAACAGGTCTACGACATGACCAAGGAGGGGAAAGTGTTCAAGAGTACCGTTCAAAAAATGCAGAAGTTCAGTTACTCGGTCAGTCTACAACATCGGATTTTCTTTTTTCGCATGTGAGGTGCAAAAGTTCAGCGACGTGTCTTTATGTCGTCTCTCACTTCGCAGGTACTCAGAGATAGGAAAGAATGGCTTCTCAAAAACCACTCGACTAACACTGAAATTGGCATAAAGAAACATTCCACAACATTTGAGTCTCCTTCATTGTTCTTGGATTGCCTGCTATCATGCAACATCAGAAATCCCTCATATTCAATCGAGGAAATCAAGAACGATGTTGACTCTATCATATTCGCGGTAAGTTCTCATCACCATCTCACGGATTTGGCTTTCACTCAACATGGTCTTGCCGAGTCTAACACCACAAATGCCTTTTACAAAGAACAAGCCCATTCGGGGTGTGCTACCTCAATAGTTCTTTTTTATTGAAAAAACTAAGAGTGAAGATGCGGATATGTGATTACATAGGTGACCTATATATTTCGTAAATTAAGGCAAAGATATTAATAGATCGCAATGAATATTGCACCTAATTGGCCACATGTAATCATCATTTTTTCTTAGTTACTCCTACCAATATACATTTAGATGATATGAATGTAGTTTGAACGGCGTTTTTTTTTTTTACAAAAGGTGGAAGCTGTTTGATAGGTTTTCCAAACGCGCTTCTTATCTAAGACAGTTTTTTAGCCTCAATGCTTATATATTGCTCTTATTTTTTACTGTTTTTCAGTAAATTTTTGCTATTTATTTATTTTACATAAGTGATTGGCGCTTACCTTCCGCACAGCTCTCGCGAACGAAATAGTGTTCTTCTCGCCTTTAAAAAATAAATCCTAAATACTAGGTAATACATTTTGCTTAAAACACTAAGCGAATTGACCAGGATTAATCAAGTACCGAGTAAAAATATGCAGCGAAAACTAGTATTCGCTGAGACGATCTTACATTTCAAACATAACCGAAGGACGAAACTACATGTCGGTCTTTGCCGGACGCCGTATAGATGTTTCTAGTTGCATGGTAACTATATCTTGAAAAAATTGTCCTTTGTGATTACTTAGGTAGCACAACCAAATCATAAAATGCTTCAGGGTAGCATAACAATCACGTGCGTCTTCATCTATATTTTAAAAGAAAGACGAGTGCCTCGAGCGATTGAATTAAGTAGGTGTAATTTATGTCGCAGAATATTTCAAGTGTGGTCACGCTTGTCCCGCGCCTCATGCTTCTGCTTTAATACTTGCTGGGGGAAAACTAACAAAGCTGAAAATTCGCTCATAAAAACTGTGACACGTGTTATATATTTGTCTTTTCTTTTTCCCCGACGTATCGAGTACAACCGGTAGGTGTGCTAACAGAAGATACTATTTCTTATTCGTGGAGCCTTTGCACTTCTGTACCGTGCAATTATTATACTAAAGGTGTTAATGTCGGCACGGAATGTCGGCTAAACAACTTTCTCCTTTTCCTTTTTCTGTTTCTTCACAATTGGTCACGGAGCTCCACCACGCCCTAAAAACTGAGCAGGGCACCGACTCGACTGCGTCAGGAGTCAGCTGGACCCTATATTTGCTTGGTCTTTACCCGTCTAAGTTGGCCAGAGCTCACGAGGAGCTTGACCAAGTTATCGGACACAACCCGGATGGCATCATTAGCAGCGAAGACCTCGTGCAACTTAATTACCTCGAGTGCTGCCTCAAGGTGAGTGAACCATAAATATCGAATATGATAAATATGTTTCCGCAAGTATAGATATTTTCAATTATTTTTCGCAGCAATTTCAAAAAGAAGGAACGAGGGAGTTTCACGTTTATATATATGCTGTTTATCTGTTGCGATTGCAATGAAGGTTGGCTATTTCTTTTTGAAGTGGCCTAGCAACAGAATCTTAAGTAGTAATGGAATTGATGCACTAAAGAAGCTCCTTCCTTCAAGAAGTCACCTCGGCAAAAAACTTTAGAATTTTTTCAGTACGAGTGGAGTTAAAAAATTTTTCGCTCGCTACAATTGCACCCTTTTTTCTCTCGTCCCGACGAAAGCGCTAGAAACTTATCCAGAGATTTTAGACAGGGAGAGATGTCACATAGAAAAAAAATACGTCACGCGCACTTCGTGAACCTAAAACACCTCTTTTCTTCTAATACGCGTTTTTATTTATTAATTTCATATTACCGACCTTAAGTTCCCAGCAGGTGGGCAGTCAACATCACAAGTGACGTAACAAACTCTTTGGCGCAACAAATCTCACTTCACAAAATAAAAAAAACAACAGCACAATCATTTTCACTATTCGAGCCAAGATAATATATAAATACATATGCATATATTAATAAAAACGGTACACACGAGAAAAAACACTGCAATAAAAAATCTGAAACTTGTATTTGCAACTTGAGTTTCAGTGCGATCACACGCACATGCGTCGACAAGTCCCAGCCTCCCACGGCGGTCCCTGTAATGACCAAGTGTTTCAAGCCCAAATCAGCCAATGGCTGATAGATGATAGATGGCTTTCTACGCGTGATTTTTTAGCGTTTCTGGTCATTTGGCGAGAGAAGAGAAAGCAATGTTTAGCTGAATCTGACGATACACTATGAATTCCAGGCTGCACGCTGCGCTAGTATATTAGCTCGCGTGTTCTAGGGAGCAACTACCGGTCGGCAGTTTTCTCGCCATGCTCATAAAGTGTTGCAGGGCCCCTTTAAGAACTTCACGTCAGCACTCTTATCCACGACATTGCTTAAAATACCACGCTTAACTTTCTCGTGGCATTAGGTTCGTCAGAAGTGATGTGCCCCCCCCCCCCCCCCCCGGAACGAACCATAAGATTTTCAATTTTCGATCTTACTACAACGGTGACCTAAAGGGGCCCTGCAACACTTTTTTAGCATGGTCAGAAAACACAGCACATCGATAGTAGAGCCTCCCGAGAACACGCGAGCCAAATTTTATAGCGCAGCACGTGGCCTGAAATTCACAATAAAGCATCAATGTCAGCTAAAAATTGCCTTCTCTTCTATCGAGAAATGACGGAAAACGTTCAGTGATAATGATGATGATTTGTGACTTAGCCCTATGTATTGGGTGAACAAAGCTTGCGCGCAGAAGGCCATCTATTGGCCATTAGCCGATTTGAACATAGCACGCTCGCTTGTTACAGAGATCACCATGAGAGGCCGTGAGTTGTCCACGCGTGCGTGCACAATCACACCGAAAAAAAGTCCTGTATTCGAAAAAAAAACTGGGAAAGGTACTCAAGGTCACGAGACACGCGTGTCGTTTTTGTTTGCCCCTCCAATCTCTGCCTGCTTAGCTTCCAGCGCTTTCGTCGGGACGAGAGGAGAGAATGCCATATCAGCATGCGACAAATTTTTGTAGCTCCACTTTCACGGGACGGATTCTTAAACTTTTTGCGGCATTGAATTCGTGAGGCAATACGCTCCCCCGGGAAATTCATTCCATTATCACTAAAAAAGTCGTTCAGGGACCCTTTAAAAATGCAAACGTTTATTTCTTGATCAATAAATTAATCAATAAATTAAGAATTTGTGAAACCACCTTTCTACCCATACGGGCATGCTTGTTAGGAGAGAAAGTATGAAAAAGGAAAATAAAGTTGGCAGTGATACCTTGAAGTTCCCTAATGATATTTCACAGTATACATCGTGGGTTTCGATGCGGTCTGCCAGTGGCTACGTAATCCTTCACCGGTAAAAATAAACTGCCTTTTTACCGGGAGGCCTATAGTAAACATACGTTTCGGGAAGCTTTATCAGCCACGCACCATGACCGAACTACAAAAAAAAAAGTTTGAAACTTGTAACATCAGGCTGACAATCAGTTGTTAAGTATCAACGCGAACTTCAATAATGGAACGTTGGCCTTCACTTAATCTAACAATACTGATATTATAAAGCCAAAATAATCGCAGTAGAGGATTCAATGAATAACGTATTATTTTAAGCTTAAGAATTCATTCAATGGAGTATGCATTTTTCAAGCTCCCCATTTCATGTAATGTTAGCCTGACACTCCTCGTAATAACTGCTAAAGCCTAATGAACGTCTCGGAGCTGTGAGTTAGACACACTTCAACACTGCCAGTTAGTAAAATGTGATTGCTTGTTTCTGGTGTATCAACCATTCTGTAGCGCAGAATCAGTAAATGCTGTCAAGCCCATTAAACGGCTGCTCCACACCTAGTATTAAACAAAATGTTTGCCACAATCTGTTCATCATGCTGCCAAAACGTGCTGGTTAGGGTGATGCTAGACACTCTTGCCGTTTTTTATACCTAATTATTATTGTTCCAAAGGGAAAAACTTGGAACGCTGATTCTATGTCTTTAATTGTTTTAATTCTTGTATTGTAGGAATCGCTCCGCCTTTATCCACCATTTCCACTTTTTGGAAGGAAATTAGAACACGACATGATTATCGGTAAGAACAACTAATTTTGTTCTCATAATTTCATTGCTAGGGGCTTTTACATTATACAACAGTGTTCACTGGTTCCGCCGCTGAGCTCTAAATGTGCAGTTTAATTAAGTCTAAAAAAATTTCGTACACTGGAAATCCTCCTTTTTGAGAAATCCTAGTGAGTTTCCTTTGTGGTGTTTTGTCACAGACGGGGTGATTGAAGTTTTCTTTTTTCATGGCACGTAAGTAGCTATCGAAATCTTGGTGACCACGGCAGCGCAAGACAAACAGCTCCGCGATGCCTTCTCACGGCTATCAGATGCTGGAGAACGCCAACTGCGAACGCGCGTCCTTTCCTTCCTGTCAGTCACACATCGGACCACCCAAAAAATACGAGGTGTCACTTTTGCGCGCCGCCAAAGCTCTGAGCGATGATATCGCCACAAAAATATGTAAGTCGGTGACAGTGCGCCTTGGTTCCAGACGCTCCACCGCGGCGAAAACACGCACATTGCGCCAATGTTCTTTTTTTTGATCAACACATGTCATAAGATTACCGAGCAGGGCTGCTCTCGCCAAGCATGCCATACCTTCGTTTTGGGACGTTAAACCCCACATATCAATCAATCAATGCCATACCTTCGTGTAAGTATGGAACGTACGCAAAGTACCGGCGCGCACCCAGTGCTGCAACTATATTTTTGTTAAGATATCATGGAAAAGTGCTTCCGCGCGACTGCAAAAGTGACACCTTGCGGTTTTTCTGGCATTTTGGTGTGCGCGCAGTTCAGGGGAGCGAAAGCGCGGGCTGTCAGGTTGAAAAAGAATCGCGTGCGCAGTGCCCGCTCTGGAGCTTCTCTAATAGCCATCAGAAGGCGCCGCGTTGCTGTTCGCCACGTGTTCTCGTGGTCTCCAAAATTTTGATCCCCACTGTACACCGGCGCACTCACATCTATGCCTACGATTCTTTGACTCTTAACTAGCTGCCATGGTTAGGCACATGGGCCATGGATAGCTACCTTAACAATAGCCCCGTCACAACAACAGCGCCCGTACTTGACTCTCGGCCTTCATCGCAAACTATTTTTTTTTTCGTTCATCAGCGATCCCAGAATTGCTGGTCTACTTGCGCCATTCTAATGAAATACAGCTCCTAAATACCTTTTATTAGCTCGGAATCTGGACTCTCACGGACAAATTCTGCCGAAGAATGCAAAACCATGAAGCAGTTGACTAAAGTGACATCACTCTGTCCTCAGAGGCTGTGCGGTATATACATAGGACTGAGGCGATGTTGGTGGGGAGAAGGAGACCATCACTTTTATAACTCCATCGTACGAAAGGGCGAAAGATATCATTCAAGTCCGGGGGAAAACCATATGCTACGTGCGCACAAGCGAGACAGGCAGATCCCACAAGCCAAAAGAACGCTGCGTTGTCATACGGTGCGGCCGCCGCACGTGTGTGATATCATCATCATCATCATCATCATCATCATCAGTCTGACTACGTCCACTGCAGGACCATGTTCTGCCAGATAACCCGGTCCTGTGCTTGTTGCTGCCAATTTATACCCGCAAACTTCTTAACCTCATCTTCCCACCTAACCTTCTGTCTCCCCCCTAACCCGCTTTCCTTCTCTGGGAATCCACTTAGTTACCCTTAACGACCAGCGGTTATCCTGTCTACGCGCTACATGCCCGGCCCATGTCCAATTCTTCTTCTTGATTTCAGCTATGATATCCTTAACCCCCGTTTGTTCCCTAATCCACTCTGCTCTCTTCTTGACTCTTAAGGTTACACCTACCATTTTTTCTTTTTCATTGCTCGCTGCGTCGTCCTCAATTTAAGCTGAACCCTCTTTGTAAGTCTCCAGGTTTCTGCTCCGTAGCTAAGTACCGGCAAGATACAGCTGTTATATACCTTCCTCTTGAGGGATAGTGGCAATCCACCTGTCATAATTTGAGAGTGCTTGCTGAATGTGCTCCACCCCTTTCTTATTCTTCTAGTTACTTCAATCTCGTGGTTCGGCTCCGCGGTTATTACCTGCCCTAAGTAGACATAGTCTTTTACAACTTTAAGTGCACTATTACCTATCTCGAAGCGCTGCTCTTTTCCGAGGTTGTTGTACATTACTTTCGTTTCCTGCAGATTCATTTTAAGACCTACCTTTCTGCTCTCCTTGTCTAACTCCGTAATCATGAGTTGCAATTCGTCCTCTGAGTTACTCAGCAATGCAATGTCATCGGCCAAGCGCAGATTACTAAGGTACCCTCCATTAACTCTTATCCCTAACTGTTCCCAATCTAGGCTTCTGAAAACCTCCTGTAAAGTCGCGGTAAATAGCATTGGTGAGATTGTGTCCCCCTGCCTTACACCCTTTTTGATTGGTATTCTGTTGCTTTCTTTATGAAGCACTGCAATAACTGCAATAACAGTTGCCTCCTTACTAATGTGCAGTTAGAGGGACGGGCCCTACCACTGCTGTGAATGCCTGTAAAAAATGACAACAAAAGTGCCAACTAATCTGCCCATTAGGCACATGATGGAATGAAAACCTCTTGAGCTTTTAAAAAAGCCTTTGTGAATAGAAAGGAAAGAGAGTGCATTACTCTTTCCTTGCTTTTCTCGTCTTTCTTACGCACTTTGTGATGCAAGGACAGTTATTCGCATTACGTCATTACAACACAGACACTCGACTGATCCACATACGCGACATATCAGTTCTGAATAGTCCCCTACACTGCTTTGCCATGCAGCCGCCAACCAGTGTCACGCGAGTCGATTGCGCGATTGTACGATTTATTGTCTTTGTGTTTGTTTCTGACTGCGCCGGCAGAGATAACAGCGTGCGCGCGCGTAGTGCGAAATTCTGTGGCCCAACGTTTAGAGTTGACAATGCTCACGCGTTTTAATGACGAAATAAGTGGCACGCAGGAGATAGAACTTGCGAGAAAGGTTGTGAAGACGACGAAAAAACATCTGTGTATTTTTTTTCTTTTTTACCTTAGAGTGGTTCAGGGTTATTTTAACACAAATCACTTATTGGGTTAGTAAACTGAGTTCTATTTTTCTCTGTCATTATGATTTGAGATAATTGATCATAATATACTTAGCATTGTTTTAAATATTGCCGCATACACGAGCAAGACTATCAATAGAACAACACGACATTGTGCCAAGTTAGCAAACACTAAATAAACAGTCACTATTTAGGTAGTGATATTTGCAAGCTCAAGTTTTAGCGCATTTATATTTTTAGGAGTGTTGTTTTTACATTAAACTTAGGCATATAGGCCGTTATTTACGCTAACCTAACCCCTTTTCGTAAGTCTGGTATTTATCAAGCGATTGCATAGCTCAGTCGAAAGCACATGTACGGAACTCACCAAAATGAGTCAAATTAGTAAACATTTCGGATATTTTATTGTGCTACTTTTATTAAACCGTTTTTTTTTTCATTTTCGTCGCAAATGTTTTCCACAAGTTGGCTTCACAGTACTGCATGCTTTACAATGTAAGCAGCATGCCTCATGGCAACAGGCTTTTTTTTTTAATGGTTTGACACGCGATTTATAGCTGAAAAGGTGGGGTTATGTGCAGCGGTGTATCACACGGGCGAAATGGCAGTAGATATGGAAACAGTGTCGCAACATTTTCAAAAATAGGCATACTTACTCAGACGTCATCAACACGTATCATTCGCTTTGGCCTTAATGTCGCTGTTGTTTTCATTAGCATAATTCTTGGGATGTTTTACGCAACCGTGACTTTAAGCTCGTTTGCACCATATTTCAACCGTACTGATTATCACCAGCCTAACGGAGAACAATAGGTTTTTCTGTCGGTTTGTCCACTGCGGTGGATCAGTCGCTAAGGGGCTCGGCTGCTCACTCAAAGGTCACAGGCTCATCCTCCTCACATTTCGGTGGGGGCGAAAAGAAAGAGGTACGCTAAACAACACGAGATGATTAAATTCTCCGGAGCCTCCTCTACGGCACCTCTCATATTCATATCGTGGTTTTGAGTCGTGAAACCCCGTATGACATTACTACTATCTTATTTTGATTTCGGACTAATGCTGGAAACTATTTCCAAATCTGGTAGCTCTACACAGGTTCTGAAGCGCACGTGGCTTGTTTTCGTCTCAGCATGGCTGTCTGCCTCGGTGGCGCTGTATGCACTGATGATGTTGCACTGCCGCGCCGACGGATGTCTCATTTGGGGGCGGCCCGTATCGCCTGCACCAGTGCTGCAGAGTGCACAACCTGTTTGAATAGAGCTAAAAAAGGAGCCGAGGTCCACCGATAAAACTCATTCAACTAAAATATTCACTATTCACAAGTTAGTTTCACTGAAAAAAAAATTGCATAGAATGCACAGGAAGCCTACCGGGCATTGTAATAAAGTTTTGAAGGGTCAACTTGTCGACTAGTTGGTTGAACATATTACTAAAATGCTTAAATTTTGTCATCCAGAAATATTTCTTGCGCTGACATTAGTAGAAGTGAGAGTTTATAGTCAAGTTCGACAGCATTGCACTTGCAATACCATACAATTTCAACGTAAATGACGTAAAAGACGCGAACGAAGTCCGCAAACTCCGCTCACCCATAAAGCATATACATGCTAGTGGTCGGG